GTTTCCAGGCTTTCAGGCTGAAACGACACAGGGCCTGTAGGCCCTTGTTTTCAGGCTTTCGGGCTGAAAACGACACGGGCCTGAAAATGGCCAGTGCAGCCTGTTGCAGGCGCAGCCTGTAACAGACACCCTCCTACAGAGGATCCTCTATACAAGGGATAGGCAAACTGACAGTCAATTTTCCCCCCTGAGGGAGTAATCAATGCTGGTCGGAGTTCCTTTAGCCTCGACGGAAGGAAGCTCAGAGCGGGTCTTTCAATGTATTTTCAATCATCTTGCCGGTGGATAGGAACCAGACTGACTCTCCCCAGAATGGATACAGAGCCAAGACCATAAGGACCTGTTCTTTTCTGTTTTTCCTTTGCGAAGGCAGGGAAATTTTGGGCTGGAAAAAAGAGATGCCAACATTCAGAAAAGCATAGAGCTTAAAGGGAATACAGTACTTCCGAACTCGTAATGTGCAAATGTTAGAAAAAACAAAGATTACTTCACACACACGTACACACAGGAGGGCAGGGGAGAGAGAGAGAGAGACAGACAGACAGACAGAGAGGCACAGGGAAGGAGTCCGTGGACTTACTTTAAAGGTATTGGATGCAGCCAGCCATCATTAATGACCTTTGGACGAAATTTCCCAGTAAGGCCCGCTCGGATGCTGAGATGTCTTGGGAAGCTGCCCATGGCCGCCCATGAAGCATACACCTCGTGTAAACAGCAAGCCGATTGTCTCTAAGTCCAATGAAACAGTCACCGAACGGACTTTTAGGACCAAGCAACCTGTTGAGTGGTGCAACACCATCCATCCACAACCAGAAGAATATAACACATGCTGTCACATAGACCATCCAATAAGTTCTCTGTCTTGGCACAGCATCGACAATGCACAAGCTCGTAAATGTATGAATTTGCCATGCTATCAAGATCAAACAGCTGTCCTTACAATGAACTGAAAACATCAAATTGTCCCACATTGATACACAAGCAAATTCGCAACCCCGAATGTGTGATGCTGCTACGCGGTAGGCCCCACCTTCTACTTCACGGTTGTCGATGTTTTCACCATCGTCTTCATCATAGTCATCATCATCATCATCATCATAGTCATCATCATCATTGTCGTCATTGTAATTGCTATCGCCGTTGTCATCGTCTTCTTCATTATTCATCATCAATGTTGTTCATCATCATCTTCTCCCAAAAGAGTTTTGGACCTTTTGGCGTTATTGCACGTGTGCATGAAATTATGACTGGAGGGCCTACCAGCACCAGCCCTCCTAGGCCCTGCGTGTGCCATGCATGCATGCCATGCCGAAATCTTCTTTGTGAGGGCCAGACCGGCCTTCTCAGGTCCTTCCAAAAGAACTCGCATGGGAGCACCCAGCTCACCATGCAGAAAGCTATTGGCTTTTTCAAGTTTTTTTTTTTTTTTTTCCGAGCCGTCTTCTCCTCATCGGGGACAGCTGTGTATATTTTTCTCTCAATTTGCCCTCACATATCTACCCCGTATAGAGAAGAGTCGAGCAAAAAAAGGCTGGGATCCACTAGGGAGAATGCCGGGAGGCCGGGAATACAACCCATAACCCTTATCGTCCCATGCTGAAAGCTATTACGGAAGGGGTGCGAAACAGTTTTCTGAAGGGTCCACAGCGCCATCAGGTGCTGCAAAACAAAGTGTAGCAGCAGAGACCCAGTAGAGCCTGGCAGAACGGTTCCATCAGAACCCCCGATCACCGCCAGCAAGTGGCAGTTGAACGGACCAGATTGCCATGATCATCACCATAGCACCATCCACATCAGGACTGCAAACACATTCACAGTTCCAATCTGAGATTTGTGCAGGTTTCTGAGTACTGATGCTTGTTGGTCTGATTCACTGGAGATTTCCGAGTTCGAGTGTGTTTGCTATTTTGCCTTAGTATCCGAGTCTCTGCGTGATGCTTGCTTCTTCTTCTTTTTTTTTTTTTTTTTTTTTTTTAATACAAAAAACAGGTCCTTATGGTCCTGGCTCCATTTCCATTCTGGAGAGCATCAGTCCGGTTCCTATTCCACCGGCAAGTCAGAATAAATATTACATCATGAACCCACATATGCTTCCTTCCATCTGGCTGAAGGAACCCTGACCAGCATCGATTACTCCAGCATCGTGGAGGATTGACTGTCAGCTTGCCGTGCTTCTCCCTTTCCTCTCAGGTCCACTATAATGGCCTGTCAGATAGAATATAAATGGCAAGAAAGGGCCTGGACGCCACAAAGGCTGCCTAATCTGTCTAAACTCTGATCCCCGCCCATGTGCCTCATGAGATCCCTACCAGTCTGAACCCTATTTGCCTTGATTGTCTAAAACCCTAAACCCTAGACCCTCACCTATAGTTTTAACGAGACTCCTAATTCATAAACCCTAGAACCTAGGTAATCTTGTCTAACTTTTCCTAATTGCGAAGGCTCTATTTCAGGACTACCACTGTTGCTCTCCTACTCATGCTTTTAACAAGCCACACTTGAACCCCAAACCCTATCTAAATCCCTTGAACCTTTGAACCCTAAACCCCCCTCTTTTTTAACTCTATCCTTCTTGCAAGGAATATGAGAGTGAGCGATGTACATAAAACCAAGTTGCGAAATCACACAGCTGAGCAAGTAGTAGTATCCCAAGTAGAGAGTACAAATGCACCGAGAAAACCATCCATAAAGAGCAATACAATGAAGTATTGAGCCAATGTCCAAGCCCGTAGGCCACACCAACACAGTATCCAGAGTCGCTCTCTCTATCTGGCGCACAGCGCCCAGCCTACTCTACCACACTATCCTACTCTACAGCTGGTTCACACAACAGGATCACTTCGGCTCACGAAGACCAATGTACATGACTGTCAACACCATCGGCGACCTCTCTTCATGTACCAGGTACAGACCTTGATTACCCCACACAGCGCCTCACTCCCTGAAGACCACCCAATCATCCGCTGTACCCCCTGGCGCCTAGCAGCCCGGCTATGGTCGCCTGCGCCCCGCTGCCCTGCAGCGCCCCTCTCACCACTCTGCGCTCCGTCAGCGCCCCTGGCATTAGCGCAGCATCCAAGCAGAAGCGCAGCAGCACTTCCGCATTGCCAGCGCTGGCCAGTGCGTCTGGCCTGGGCTGCCTCACTTCCTTTATGGAAGTGTCAAACTCTTGGATGCTGCATGTGGCGTGGCTGGAAGCTTCCAGAAGCTTCCGGTTGGGCCCCAGACCCTGTGCCCAGGCCCGAGACTTACAGTTGAGGGCCCGGGCCCTTTGGCTGTTGGCTGTATCTGCGCAGGGGCCCCAGATAGATGCGTCGGCAGTACTGCTTTTCGCAAAGGCCGACGGCCTGCTTCTCAATGTATCGGCCCTGCTTTGTGTGTATATGCCCAGGCACAACTATCGTGGCCTGGGCCAACTGTACGACGCAGCTTAGTGAGGCTCGCGCGTTCACTCAACCAACTGACACGCTGCCAGAGCCTGAATACCCACATATGGAAATGTCGAATTTGGCCTGTGACGAATATTCAGGCCCGCCTTCACTTAGGGTGGGCACTTGGCTTGCTGGGGCCTTAGCCCAGAACAATGTGATGTCTGATAGGGCCACTTGAGGGCTCGTTCCTCACATTCTGCTCCCTGCTCATCTTGTTTCTGCTCCTAGCCTGCTCCTAAACCCTAGACCGCCTTAATCTATTTTTCCATCTATTCCTTGTGAAAACTCTGCTGTCGCCTGCCATAAGTGTCTCTCAGATGTTCATCTACGCCCAGATTGGAGAGGAATCTTCGTGTACCCGAGTAATCATCTGGCCTACGGACTTGACAGAGTTGTGCCACTCTTTCCATCTTAAAGCGTGCCCATTTAGGCAAGCCACTTTCTCATCAACCAACCAGACCCGTCCGAATTTGGCAAGTGTTACCTGTTCTGTCTCTGGACTGTTTTGCACCCCGAGTTTCACCTTCCTCCATTGACATAGGATTTCTGCTTCAATCATCTCTTTGGTCGCCGCCCACACTTTCTCCCGTGGGTTCTTCGTGCCTTCCAGTGTTCTGCTGCACCTCTCCTTCCAAATGGCCCAAAGCGTGATCTTGCGCACCATCCCGAACAAGATTTCCTCTGATTTGCCGAAGTAAGAGGGTAAGTTAGTCCATAGGAGAAGTTGAAGGGGGTGCTCTGGGAGGGAAGATGAGAATAGACTATCCCAAAGTGCTGATGCTCTTGCCCAATACTCTGTGGCTTCTTTACAGTTAATTAGGCAGTGTATCACATCTTCCTTTTGTTGATCAGAGCCGACTACACAAACATCAGAGCTGGTTGGGTCGTTCTTTCTTCTTCTGACATGTAGCCACTGGTTAACTGGTAGAGCCACATAGATTATGAGCCATTGCATGCTTCTGATTTTTATAGGTCTTTCTGCGTGATGCTTGCTATGCCAGGAACTAACTCTATTCTCGTTCTGTTTTCTGTGGGGCAGGACTGAACTTGGACGCTGGACGTACTTAGAAGGAAGTCCAGGACTGGCAAGGTCAAAATGAGCATTTGGCAGTAACCCGGTAGCATTTTCCAGCTACTTGGGTAGGTCTAGGAAGGTCCGGTAGGCGTACAAGTGTTCGGTAGCTTCCAAAAAGTTCACGATGGTTCGGAGGCCGAAGGTAGGTAGGCACCAGGTTAGATTCAAGCCCTAGAAGTGGATTGCAGGCTGCAATGATGTTCCCGCCAAAACGGAGGAATTTCTGGGAAGCCCAGTGCACCAGGTGGTGGCTGAAAAGCTGTCCAGTAGAGGTACCGAATGCTGAGCTTCATGAGTGTATCATTTCGTGCAATGACTAGGCCAGACATTCGATCGACAGTCATGCTGCTGCTAAGCACTGAGGGAGAGTTAGGCGAAGACCTCCATGGCTATGGAGTAGTAGCAGTAGAAGGGAGTCAGACTAGGCGATGGAGGTAGAAAGAGAACAACCTCAAGCCAGGCTATGTAGGTAGGCGCAGGAAGACAGTGGAGGTTGAGGGTGAGGAAGAAGGACAGAACCGACAAAAGAGACTTACCTTTGGCTATGCTGGACCTTCATCTCCACTTCTATGGTTAGCAGGCCCCTGATGGGGTACCGGTTGGTCTTGGACTTCATCCGAGAGTGTGGCTACGGCGGCACGAGATAGGAGAGGCACAGTAGTAGTTGCACTGTCCCTTGAACACTATTCCATGGTCGTCATGGATGAGCCGCAATAGCTAGATATGCAACCGAGAGGAGGGAAGTAAGAGTGAGGCTAAATGGGGAGAGTTCATTGAGTGCTGGCAGTGAGGGGTATGAATTGGACATTGATTCTTGTTCATTCATTTAACTCATTATTATAATTGATTATTCATTTAAAAAAAAAAAAAGGGAGTGTTCTTTGAGTGCTGGCAGTGAGGGGTATGAATCGGAATTGATTCTTGTTCATTCATTTATTTAACCTCATTATTATAATTTGATTACTCATTTAAATCAATTTTTAGAATTGATTATTGATAAGAGGAGCATGACAATGTAGTTCTTCTCCTTCTTCTTTCCTTCTTCAATGTAGTCCTGTCTTGGTCTATTTCCATTTCTTCTTTTGTGAAATCTTGCAGGTCTCCAAGTTGAGTCCTGCATTATCAGTTGAGCAGGATCACAACAGGACAAAACCAAACACTCAACTGTTCATGCACAAAGATAGCGGATCAGGCTCAGAGTACACAGAGGAGATCAAGCAGTAGTTCTACCACTCACATCGGAGAAGATTTTGTTTCAGAGGTCACAACATTTCCTTGTGCAGCTGCGTTCCCAGCAGCACGTGACAGTCAAACGCCATCTTACCATACACAATACATTCACATCGCCCACTCCGTGACCTTGGATACATTGTATGTATGTGTCTGACAAAGTGACTGGCAGGCTGTTGGCCTTGTCTTTGGATTGAAAGCAGAATACGAAGGACAGAAGCGGTCTAAAAGGGTGGTTGATTGATTGGCATGAACGGATGAGACTGGAGAAAGGGTGCTATAATCCTTATCTGAATTTACAAAGTAAGGCATAAACCTCAGTTGCCGAACAGCATTGAGTTTCCTCATGGCATGCTCAAACTAGGAGCTTTCTGAATGTATGTGACTGCAAAAAGCAGCGAAACCAATCCCAAAAACTTCTAGTCTGAGTACGGTTTGGGGTGTCCATCACAGGATATCAACCCTGCTCCATACCACTACAGCAAAATTACCCTCTCTGGTTGCTTGCCACAGAAAGATGGTGCTAGTTCTTGGATCACATTGACACAAGTATAAAGCTTTGGAACACGGACACGCGAGTCAATTTTCGAGCAACAATCTTGGGTTTAGGGATTGAATGACAAGGCTTCAGTTTTTGTCACAGGCGGATAAGGTTGTGGTTCCAGATCTACATGACGTGGGTGTTGCATTTCCTTGCCTATGTGCCAGCAGGCTTTCTGGACCACTGCAAAGAGAATGCAAGTGAGACATTTAGGGTTTAGGGTTTAAGCCTTTAAGGTCTTTACAGTTTTCGGGACGGCTTCCACGGGCGAAAAAGACTGTCCAGACAGGCCTGGACTCCGGCTGGTATGGCCAAGTAGTATTATGTTGGCCTCTGGGGGACTCTATGTGAGGGATGTACTGTACATGGGCGAGCGAGAGACAGGCAGAGACAGGGACAGACAAGACAGACAGGGACAGAAAGTGAGGCAGGCGAGGGAGGACACTTCATTTTGTTATGTTTCGAGAATATCTCCGAAGAATACTGAGTTTCCTGGAAATGGCCTGGATTGGGAAAAAAACGAAAGGCAGGCCTGGACAAAAGAGTTTCAGTTGAAGCAAAGAACTGACAAGAACATCTATTATTTGATTGTGGCCACAAACCTGTAACACAACCATTTTAGTGGTAGAGGAGAGGTGGTCCACACCTGCTTTGCGCTGCCATTGCCATGGGTCAGCAGCCATCAGAATATTGCAGTCACACTCCCAGATCACCGTCGACGAAGGTCGCCACTCGCTACACTTCCTCCTGCTGATACTGCGGTCTGCCACTGGAACACAGCGCGCTTTAAGTAGATACAAGCAACTGATCCCACCATCCAATTGTTCTAATCAGCTACCCACCAGTGCTTTCTGAGGCTTTCCCTCATGAAACACCCAACCAGCCCACCCTAGCACTCACACGTTGACTTCCTCCATTTGCCTCCCCCTGTTCTCTGCAGTCATGCTTTGATCCTCATTGAATCAGTCAGTGAGTAAAATCTGACCCCCGGCACCAGTACGCTCAACCGGGCTTATGGAAAGGCGTGTGGCCCCAGGTGGCAGCGCATCCGAAGTCAAGCACCCTTCCGCGCCTGGACAGAAAAGTAGAAACGCTTACACACACGCAATGTCGAGGTATGGCAAATGATTGCTCTGAAGGTTGATATCCTTCCTGTCGCCACCATGAGGAGCTCTATTCGCTGTCATTTCGCTGCCAACACACATAGTCCGGCCACCAACACGTCAAACATATCGGCAAACTATCAATGCCTGGACTCATGCTGCTCAGGCTGCAGCTGATCCCTTTCATGTCCTAGCAATGAGACCCAGTACTCTGACAACTTCTTCCAATTTGCCAGTATGTTTGCCTAACCATAAGAAAACAAACATGTCCAGGAGTCTTGAGTTGAAGATGCAACAAAACTTCAGCCTTCCAATGGTTTGACCCCAGTCTGAGCTCAGTTCAATTGCTCTCTGTGGGTTAACCATAAATGTAAGTAACTATTACGGGCGACAGGGGTGGAGCAGTGGTAAATTCTTCCGAAGAGGAAGTAATCAATGCCGCTGACTCAGGGTCTCTCGGTCATAACAGAGAGAAGCGTTGGGTGACTGAATTTATGTAAGGGACGCTGGGCCCGGTTCCCAGCTTATAATAAAACTGCTCCTCCTTTCAAGAGGGGGGGAAAAAAAAAAGGGTAATAAACTCGTTCTCTGTACCATAACTGTGGATAAGTTTGCCTTGCTGTTGTCTGCAAGGCTGCCAACGCTTCTGTACGTAGTTTCTCTAAACCGCAACCAAACTTGAGAGGTCAAAAATGAGTCATTCCAAAAAGTTTGGAGGAACAGCGCTACCGGACCAAAAAATGGCTACCGGCGCTAGCCAAAATGAAAACAAAACGCCGTGCTGACATTTTGGCAATGCTTACCATGCAGGGAGAATCCGCCTCGGCAAAAAAAGAGGCTCGGATGTACTGGTGGTTTAATATTTTTGCTGTCTTTAAAAGGATTCCATGCAACTTTGAGCCTGGTCCCCAGTCCCTGTTCCAGATTCAGTGCTCCGTGTCCTGTGTATTATAGTCCCAACCGGTAGGCCTAGTGTACGGTCCAGTGTGGGGTCCAGGAGGTCCGTCTGTATACATAGTCTGGTGGGTCATTAAGCTTTGTCAGTCCAGCCAACAGTCGCAGTCCCAAAAGGAGGAGCTCGGTCCCGAGAAAAGTCCATTAACTCAGGTCCGCATTTCAACAGTTCGTAGTTGTACCAACTGAGATAGGCCAGTTCTGATGAGTGACACTAACTCTGAATTCACCTGGGCCTGGTCAGCTCAAAGATGATATTTCAAGGCCATCGCCCTTTTTAAAAAGGAAAGTCCAGTAACAACTAGAAACGTCAAAGCCACCACGGCCAGCAAGTCGGGGACCGATAGCGGTCCGAAAAGTCCAAGATTGGGAAATGCAACAAGTACAAAACTTTATTCAGGCTATGTAAAGCGGAAAGGCTTCTTCTAACTCCACCCGACTATTCCTCCTTTTGTGTCAGTTCGAACATTTCTTCACGTCCCTTGTTTTCTCCATCACCTCCTACTGTGCTGCTATTGGTCGGCCTTATTGCTCGTCTCCCCTGTTGCTCATAATACTTTAGTTTTCTGCAAGCAACAAGATGATACACGCTCTGCTATTGAACATGTCGAAGGATAAGAAGAGAACGATCGAAATGGTGCTTGTGAGCTGCGGTTTGGGGATTTCTCACCCTCCTAGTCTTCCTATTTTTCATTTGCTCGCTGCTACCTTGAACTCTACCCATCATATCTCTCCCTCTACACCTCGATGGGCTCTTTACCCCACCTGTCAACAGTAAGGGAAAAATGTTTTCTCTGATGACGCCCCTCGTGGACGGGGCAAGAAAGCGCTTCAGTCATTGCCACTCTCTCTTGCGCATTGGCTACTAGTTGAGCCCAAACACTATGCTAGATTGAATCTTGCGGATATGGCCAGATACAGGACAACTTCTTACTTCTCCCTCCTCCACCACTTTCTCTTCCCCTTCTTCCCCCTCTCCTTACCCATCTTCGTCTCTCTGTGGATGACTGGGGCAGATCTCGATATTACTCTAGTGTAAGGCTCGAGTGACTTTTTTGGATTGCATAAAGCTCTGTGGAGAGTCAAGCGTGCATGATCTTGGTTTACTACTCCTTGTCATAGGAGTTTATATAAATGCCTGGGACGCTGGGCCCATTACCCGACACGGTGCTACCTCCTTCCCCCGAATACAACATACGGTTATTATAGCTGTATTCGGGGTGTCTTTCACTCTAAATACAGCTATAATGACCGTACGTTCTATTCGGGTGAAGAAGGGAGTTACTCCCCCTCTTTGTGTGCTTTAGGGATTGCATCACATAAGGGACGGTCGGCCCACTTCCCAGCAGTGCGTAGTCTGTTCTGGGTTACAACAGCTTAAATTAGCGAATAGTTCATTTAGTTCTTTTTTTTTTGTTTTTGTTTTTCAAATGAAAATCAACTCATTCTGAATAACCTGGGGCTACGGCCTTGAGGTATCATCATTTGAACTGACCGGCCCTACCCCCTTCTTCCCCCGAGCACAACATACGGTCATTATAGCTGTACTTAGACTGAAAGATACCCCAAATACATCTATAATGACCGTACGTACCTTGTATTCGGGGGACCAAGGTAGGTAATTCAGAATTGCAGTATTTACTAATCTGGTTCCAGTGCAGTTCGAACTCAGGTCTGTATTTCAACAGTTCAGTCCAGGGGGGGTGTACCGACTGAGCTAGGCCAGTTGGTAGTTCATATAGTTCATAATAATGCTTTCTTTTTGTCTTTCCAAGCATAGGGGACCAGGGTCGGGCTTGGCCGATGATGCCTCGCTCTACCCTTCTTCACCCCAATACAACGTACGTTCATTACTACAGTATCTAGACTGGAAGTTACCACAAATACAGCTATAAGGACCGTACGGCGTACGTTGTATTCGGGGGAAGAAGGCTCAGTGGCCACCCCAAGCTGTGTGAGGGACGCTAGGGGCGGTTCCCAGCATTTGTAAATTGAAAAAAAGCTATTTTTGGAAGGAAAAACAAAAAAAAATGTATCTCCAGATACATTTAGAAGAGCCTAGCTCAGTGGGTACACCCATGAATTGTTGAAATCCAGACCTGTGTTCGAATCCAGACGATGAAACTTGATGAGTAAAACCAACTACTAATGAATTGCTTGGGCCCGGTCAGCTCAATGATAATATCTCAAGGCCGTCGCCTTTCAAAAACAAAAAAAAAAAAAAAAAAAAAAAAAAAAAAAAAAAAAAAAAAAGGTTGTGTGCGGGGGCCCCCGGTAAGAAAAAAAAAAAAAAGGAAAAAAGGAAAGGAAAAGCGGAAAACAAACAACAAAAAGTTGTGTGGTGGAGCGAGGCCCAATATTGGGCCACGAGGATGTCACTTCCATGCTGAAGAGGACCACTGTTCTATCTTCCTTTCTTTTTTTTTTTCTTTTTCTTTTTTTTCTTTTTTTTAACCACCATCCTATCGTCCACGAGCGGGAATGACGATGGTTACATACATACGACTGCGAATGGAAGATTTGATGTTCCACGGGAGGCATATAGACCCACCAATCAGTGAGGTATGATAATGTAATAAAGTAGCTAACTAGCAAATCCAATCAATGGTGAGAAAACCACCACCACCACCACCGCCAGAGACCTGGTGTCAAGCTCAGCCTCTGGATCACTCTCGCGGGCGTTGCCGATGGTGAAACTCCGACGAAACAGTTTGTCACAGCCCCTCGTTTGTTGGCAGCTCTGTTTGACTATATATACATATATATATATATATATCGTCAAACAGAGCTGCCCGGTAAACCGCGTAGGCAGAGAGGGAGATAATTTATTTTATATATATACATATATATATCGTCACACTGTGAATCAGAGCGCACTGTGAACCGTCAGTCTGTAGAGTTTTCCATCTGGTGTGGGTGAGTGATAGTCTGCTTTGATTTTCGTCACAGGTACCTTGAGGGCAGTGGTTGGTGGTCCCCACCTCCTCAGAGGGTATCAGTTGTCGGGCAGTCGTTGATGCTTAACCACAACCGGGGTTAAGGTAGATTATCACTTAAAGTGTAATCATCAGGTTAGGGGATTCTGCAGACTCTGTTTTGAGGGTTCAGCCTCCTGACGAGTAAGTCGGAGTGAAACTCCGACGAAACAGTTTGTCACAGCCCGCCTCGTTTGCTGTCCTCTTCTCCTTCCCTCTCTGCCTACGGTTTACCGTAGGCATTTCTGTTTGACGATTTATATAGATATATAGTCAATCCCTCTCTGCCTACGGTTTACCGGGCAGCTCTGTTTGACGATATATACATATATATCGTCAAATAGTATATATATATATATATATATATATAAATAGAGCTGCCCGGTAAACCGTAGGCAGAGAGGGAGAAGAGGACAGCAAACGAGGGGGGCCTGTGACAAACTGTTTCGTCGGAATTGAAAAAAAAAACTCATTGCTTCGCACCTTTCTTTTTTCATCAATCAAATCAAAGATGAAGTATTATGATTACATTACAGGAGTTAGGCACAATGGCCACAGAGCGAAGAGAATGGCTACATGCTCGTGACCTGTAAATCTATTTTACCCATACCATGTATTTGTCTATGTATATATCTCAGCTATCAATCAAATGTCGCCTATCTATCTATATGATAGACAGATAGATTGGTAGGTATGATTATAGACACTAGGTACCACAG